AAAAGTGACATTCTTACTCTTAATTTATAGATCTTTATCTGTCTTTAAATTAAGAATACATATAGCTCTGGGAAATTAAAATGTAAGCCAAACTGTGCATTTCCTAAAGAACACTCTTCCTTTACAAAAATAAATCACAGGAAGGCCTAGATCCATGATGATGAAACTATGGCACACATGCCAGAGGTGGCCCTCTCTGCTGGCATGCATGCCATCACCCCAGATCTCTGTGGCGTTTCTTTTGTGAGCTTCTGTTTCCCTGCAACAATGAAACAGAAGCTCACAAAAGAAGATCTTACCTCTTGCCACCCGGCCGGCATTGGGATGCCCCGCCTCCCGCCAGCCAGCTAGTCTTCAAGTCTCTGCTGCGCATGCACATGTTCACATGCATGTGCACCTTTCAGTTTGTGCATGTGCGCGCAGAGTTTGGGCACTTGGTATCTAAAAGGTTTACCATCACTGGCCAAAATGCCAAGTGATTAAGCAGCTTAGAGTAAACAATTACAGTAGTACTATATTTTTATACAAATGACCTGGGACACTAGAAATTACAGGAAGATGAAGTTCTCAAGCATACAAAATTTAAGAAAAATAAATTGCAGGTGGACTAAACAGAAAATTTCTAACAGTTGGAGAGATTAGAGAGGAAGGGATTAACAAGAAAGAAAGCACACAGTGGGAAATACACTGGGCTGTCTGCCTAACACACTTGTATCTGCTGGTGCCAGCACATTGCTTTCAATGTGTATTCCCTCATAGTATGCCCACTTACTGTTTTGTAATCCCTTCCTCCCCAATGAATGTAAATGTAAAATGGAATTCTCTCCTTGTAATTATTCCAGCCCAGGAGGGCATTCAGGGGAGGATAGCTAATGGGCTTCTGGGGGAAGCCAGCCATCTGAGGACAGGCAAATGATGCTGGCTATTTGCAGCTTCTACAAAGGAACAGAAGTGGATCAGTTCCCTTTGATCTTCTGATGTGAAACTGCCCAAGCTGCTTCTCCTTACAACCGTTCCTTTTTCTCATGAAGAGACCACAAGACAGTTACCTCGGGTGGAGGGGAGGGGACAGGGGGATGGGGGAATTCATCATTTTGCTCCAGCTGCATATTGGAGCCTTTTGAGGACACTAGGTTTGTGTACTTCTCTTGCTAACTATTTTTAGAAATTGTCAATTAATTTAAGGAAGTTAGTCATTCTTTTCAATAAGCTAAACGTACCCAATTCCTGCAACCTGCATGTGTGTGGTCTTACCAAAGCATTATAAAGTGGCACTAACACTTCATTTGATCTTGATTCTATTGCTCTATTAATGCTGCCTAGGACTGCATTGGCTTTTTGGGCAGCTGCAGCATGCTGCTGGTTCATAGTTAAGTGATTGTCCACTAGGACTCCAAGTTCCCTCTCACAGTTACTAATGTTGAGCCAGGTACCACTTATTCTATACTTGTGCATTTGAGATTTTTGCCTAAATGTAAAACCTTGCTTTTCTCTACACTGAGTTTTATCCTGTTAGATAGGGCTGTTGTGGCTCGCCAGGAACATGGGCCAGTCCTGGAGTCTGGGGCGTGTCGGAGGCAGAGATGGGACCATTCATGTCCACCTGTGCCTTTACTCCCAAGTCAGCCCTTGTTCCTTAGCTGTTCCCTTCTTTTGGCAGCTCTGTGCACATCGGGAACAGGCTACAACTTTTCTTCTGCCCCACTGATACAACTGTTCTTCTGCCCTACTGATATCCGATTCCAAAGGCAGCTGATAACTACCGGTTGGTCCTGGCCCCATTTCTGCCTCCGACACAGAGCACTCGTCAGAGCCTTCCCCAGACTCCAGGACTGGCCCATGTTCTTCCCCAACCTCCTCACTGTCTGAGTCTGCCACCAGCTCCACTGGCCACTGGCAGGCCACAACAAGAGCCTGTCAGATCCACCATTTTCAGCTTGGGGCCACCCTTGCAACCTGCCATCAAAGAACAGGGGGAAATAGCAGGGGGGATGACAAATTGGAAGCAATAAACCTGTATGTATTTTTGTGTGGGAATTCAGGAGGGAATGACAGCTAAAGAAAAGCTAATCACTGTTCATGCCCAGGTATCTTCAAGGCCATTTGCCCTGAGTGTGAAAAGTTAACAGCCCAAACGCCTCCATGTTCCCAAAACTTTCAGGCGGCATCGCATTGAGTGGGTTTAGACAGGTCGTGGGGGGAGGGACAGGACTGAAGGAAATAGTTTTGTCTTGTTGCGCAGGAAACTCAGATTTTGTCTGAGATGCATCCAGCATCTCTTAGTAAAAGTACCTTTCACTTCAACCAAATAGAGTCAAAGGTTTCTCTTCCCTCAGCGATCAGACTGGGGCAAGTCTGGCAAGGTCCAATTTTCAAGACTGTCAAGATTGTTCTATATCCTGTGTTTATCTTTTGGAGTATTGGCTGTTCCTGCCAGCTTGATGTCATCTGAAAATGTGATGAGTCCCTCTTCTATCCCCTTGTCTAAGTCATTGTTGAAAATATTGAAGAGTATTTGGCCTAAGGCAGAGCATCGGGGTACCCCACTACATATTTCCCTCCATGTAGATGCAGTTCCATTAAGGATTACATATTGAGTGCGGTTGGTCAGCCAGTTACAAATCCATCTGGTAATGATGCTGTTTAACCCACATTTTTCTAGCTTATCAAGTTGCAGTTTGTGATCAATTTTATCAAATATTTTACTGAAGTCCAAATAAATCATTTCCACAGCATTTGGCGGGCCCACTAATTTTGTCACTTTGTCAAATAATGCAGTAAGATTTGTCTGGCATGATCTGTTTCTGACAAATCTATGTTGGTTTCTAGTGATGACTTTGTTTCTAGCTGTTCACAAATTTGTTGTTTGATTATTTCATACTTAAACCAGTTTTACATTTAACATTTTTCCTCTAAAGTAAGGAAGTTTGGATAGTTTTTTAAAGGAGAAATTCTTTCTTTCTACTATGCTTAACTTTCATTTTTTTATTTGTATTTGGATACTGGAATTACTTTATACTTGTGAAATGTGGTTGAGTTTATAAAGTGAAGATATGGAATTGTACTTGAAGATATTTGGAATATTGTGTATTGGAGCTGTCTTTTATAAAGCGAGAATTGTCCCCATTTTGTCATGACAAACTTTTTACATATTAATAAGTTGAAACCATTTCAACTTTTAAATGGGATTTTGTTATAGTTAAGACGTGAGATGGTTTATATAAATCAATGCTAAAACTTAACAATTATGTATGGATCTTTTGTTGGTAACTGGATTAAGATATTATTTATCCAATTTGCCTACTTACAAGAAATGGATTGTGGGGTGGAGAGATTTATATTTGTTAGCTAAGAAGAAGTGATGATATTAGGGAACTCTTTATACTCACCACCAAGTGAGTGAGGAGTCATTTTCCAGGATGGGAATTCTTTATATATTTATTTCTCATGTAATTCTCTTTTTGCTTTCTTGGATTCTATTATTTTTTATTGTTTCATTTTCCATTTCAAGCTGGAAACATAATCATATGATTTCCTACCTAATGAAGGATTCACTGAGCCAGGAATAGAGATATGTGAAGCATTTTGAGGTCAAAACATTCTGTCCTTAAATAACTTTTTCCAACCTCAACACACACAAAAAATCAGAATAGGGTATTTGAGGTTGGAACATTTCATCTTTGAAGTGTTTTGTAGAGTTCTAGATAGTGGACTCATATGAAATGTTTAAACAATTATAAATCACAAGATAAGCAAACACTGTATTGCAATCACCCAATCTACTATTTTCTAAGAATCTACCTGGTATACCAAAGCACTGTTGGAAGTACAGATTATATTTCAGGTTCATGCCTTACAGGCTTTTAGGTTCATTAAATGAAAATAAACTAAAATATTAAATTAGGAAAGATAAGGCACTTTGAGAGTACAAGAAAAATTGTCAGCAGTCACACTTTCACTTAAGGTGATCGAATATTCAGGATTAATATCCTTAAAGTCCAATAATTTGTTAGGCTGCTGGAGGATGGAATGGCAGAAATCGCCAGATTACAAAGAATTGATTTTGTCTGATAAAACTGTTTCTGAATATAATGTATCAAAGTATTTTTTTAAAAATAGGCATACTCTATTTATAAAAAATATAACAATTTGAAGAGCTACTGCAGTAAAGTACATATCAAAATTGACATTTTTTTCTATTATTATTTGCCTTCTTTCTGAAGCGTTTAGCTATTTCCATCAGAAATAACTTCTTAAAAACTCCAATATATGATTTTGGAGATCTCCTTACATTTAATAGTTATTATAGAATAATAATAGAAATTTTTAGCACTAAATTTCCTGAAACATTTTAAAAATATTTTGAATCATTTTAACTTGAAAATATAAAGTTAAAGATAATAGGAATCCAGTTCAATTTATCTGATCTAAACTAACACCAATCTAGTTAGCATGAGTACAAGTATATCCCAAGTGAGACAACAAGTATATTCCAAATGTGATTCGTAAGAATAAATGGGGATTTATGAACAATCTTAAACATGTTTACCTATAAATAAGTCTCAGCAAGTATTATGGAACTTTCCCCCCAGAAAAATCTTTGTCTCTTAATCCTTCTTAATATTTCAACCTGTTGCAGATCTAGAATGACTATTGTATGATTATTTTAGATGGACAAATTACTCCAAACAACAGTTAGTTGAACATCTTTCATAAAACTCTCCACTCAGCTATCACAGAAAAAATTAACCAGGTTAGTATCTACATGAATTATACTAGTTAATACAAAATAAAGTACACACGCCTTTATGTATTTATTTATATACATGTGTATATGCATTGAGATGAGTAGCTACACAAATTTATAAATAAACAAAACAACGTAACTAGGGAATCATTTTGGTACAAAACTCCTTCATGATTTTCATTCCAAAATATAAATTAATTGTGTGAGTAATTTAAAAGGACTTAATTAAAATTTACACGTATTTCTTACTTACTTTGATCAGCATAATTTTTTGCTTTCAATTCAAGTTGCCGAGTTTGTGACTCTAAAGCTTCTACTCGTATCTGTATGTCTTTTTTTTCTTGTTCTTGAGAATCTTCAAATTCAATAAATTTCTGTGTCAAAAGAAAAAGCATTTATGAGTATATTTAGATATATTATATATTTAAATACCCTGTAGAAGCTGTTTAACCTCTTTTCCAAACCATTTTAGCAGCACAAACAAAAGAACAACACATTTTTCTATCCAACTCTATACTATAAGAGGATACAATCCTGATTCTTCCAGGGATAATTTTAATCCTGTCAATGTAAGAATATGGGGTATGTCTAGCCTGTGCTGGCTGCACTTGGACCATGTTATTTTGGTCAATACTGTGATGGAAGGACTATAGGCTACATCAGAATTTTTAAAAAGAAATCCAGAAGGAAAGCAATAGCAAACCATTTCTGTACTGTTGCTAAGAAAACTACTGGGATGTTTCCATGCAGTCATCAGCAATAAAGTTAAACTTGCAGGAGATTCCACTTTTACAATACAGGTTTTGTTATAAACATTAACAATATCACTCTCCATATATCTATTCCAAAGAATCCAGGACAATCCAAGATTTTGAAAATGTATACTGGGGATGGAGAACCCAATTTAACAGTCTGCTCTATTGACAGAGAGACACAGCTCTTAGATAAAGTCCACAGACTAAGCTATTTAAGTAGTCCTTTGAGTCTCGAAGTTTTTAAGGGATTATTCAGTGTTTAACAGTGAGTTTCTAATCCATTTATCCTGAGCCTCCCTGATAATCCAAATAAAATTTCAAAATAGAACATAAACTTTTTATTCTTAATAAAATAGCAATTCAAACAATTTAAAGTATTCAAAGTAGTTAAAATCATGTAATACCTAAGTTTTAGGTCTATTTAGTATTCTTGTGTATGAATATGGCACTGAATATTCAGATCCTAAAGATAGAAATCTCCCAACCAACTTAATTTTAAAATAAAAGCAAACATTGATATATCAAATGGCAAAAAAGAACACTCTACAAGTGTCATCACCAGATATGTTAAGAAAACATTTTATAACACCAAATAACAGAAGTAATATTACACTAGCAATATAATATTGCACTAAAGATATATACTCTCTTGTCCAAGGTATTCTTGAGACGGACAACAACAATTACAAATTGTTGTATACAAAATGTATACATTTTGGATAAATGTTTATTCTAGTCAAGCGACATACACAGTTCGATGCTGATGATTAGAACATACACTGCTTTCTGGCCATTTCAAAACATCTCAGAGAAAGCTATCTTTAGCCCTATCAATATCAGAATGCTTGTTTAAAAAACTGTTACACACAAATCACATGTAAATCATAGGCTAATTTCATTTCTCAAAATGTTTAATATAAATTATGTCTGTCGGAAAAGATGCAAGATAACACTAATGATAGAAAATAGCCAAGTGCTCTACTTAAAATAGTTTTACCCGCTTCTTTAGCCAAAAGAATCCTTACAAATACCATGTGAGACATACTGCCTTCAGGCACTAAAGAAACAGTGATAAAGATAAACATATTCTTGACTGAGAAATAACTGCACAACAAGACCTATGACAAGACTCTTTTACTTCAGATGCTACCATAAAGTAATATCATAAATCACATAAATCATATGAGAAATAAAAATTAAAATGCTTAACTGAGGCTAGCATAAAAATCCTGCTAGACTTTATCCAATATCTTGTCACCTTCTTAGATACTTCCTCCACTCCACATAATACTCCCAAACAGATTCAGAAAGTGCTACAGTTTTCTGGAGAGATTTCAGAAGGTGAGAGGAAGGTAAGAGAAGTGAGGAATTCAGCTTGTCAACCGTCTCTGCATAGCTAATGGAAGGATACCAGTAGCTATGGACTGTCACAGTAATTACAACAATTACTGTTGTAATTGTCTTACAGCAAACAATAAATATGCCACGTAGTGATTGCATTCAGAATTGTTCAAATAAATAAAATAACATGTGAAACTATTTAATGTCAAGTCAGAACATTAATCCATCTAACTTGCTACAATGATTCTACACATCAATAACCCTAAAGTGTCTAACAGGTTGTTTTCCTAGTCCTATTACTCAACTCCTACTTAATTGGAGTTTAAGCAAAGCAAATGTTCAGTTAAGTTCCATGGATAAGTAGCAAATAATTATTATTCAATAAAAAGTTCATTTCCACTCACATTCCTGTCAAATGCATATGCGAAAATAAATTTAACTCTTCATTTTGAAACTAATTTTTCCATTCATTCAATGCATTTATATAAGTAATGTTGTGACTCCTTATAATTTGGTAACTCACAGCCAAAACCACAATAATTTCTGTATTCATGACTAAAATAAGTGGCATGGTTCATCTACAGATCTTGAGCTAAATATTATTTGACACGTTTGTTTCTGTTGACAGTGTCTGTCCTAATTTATCATTGATTCTCAATATTATTTGCATCTTCTTAAACCGCAATATAAACCCTTTTAACAAATGAATGCCCAGAATTCATTTGGGACTGTCCTACCTTGCCCACAGGTCAAAAGAAAATTTTTCCCTAAAGTATGGAAGAAATACCACCACCACAATACTTATAGTTTAATTGCTGTTCAAAATGTGTTACTGAAACACTATAAAAGTTGTCAACTCATGAGTATCACAGTTTTGAGGAATCAGACTGAGAGTTCTAGTCCTGCCTTAGGCATGAAAGCCAGCTGGATCACCTTAGGTCAGTCACACTCTCAGATCAATCCATCTCACAAGGTTGCTGTTGTGGAGAAAGCAGCAGCAGCAGCAGAAAGGAGGAGGAAGGAGGAAGGAGGAGGAGGAGGAAGAGGAAGAAGAAGAGGAAGAAGAAGTAGTAGTAGTAGTAGTAGTAGTAGTAGTAGTAGTAGTAGTAGTATGTTTGTGTTTGCCCTTGAGTTATTTATACAAAATAATAAAGGTTGTTTTAAATAAATGAATAAATACATTCTGAATGTAGCAGGTGAATTTAGAATGCCATGCATCAATAGTATAGGTTTATCAAAGAACTTACCTAAAAAGCTCGATTGTGCTATTGTTTAATGAAAAGCAACTTTCAATGTTACAGGTGGAAGAATTGCATAAGGATGGATTACTTGTTTTTTCCTCTTTCGTCTATTTAAAATTCAAAGTTTCATTTATATATAAGCAGATATATACTGGTATAAAGACAGCAAGATAAAATTAGATTTTTTTTCCAAATTAACAGTCTTTAAAATCATGGCACCTATCTTTTAAAAATTCAGCATGACAGAAAAAGCATATTACTAGCAAACTTTCTCACATAATGCATTCTATCTATACTTTTTAGCATCAAATGTGTTGTAAAAAACTAATTTAATCTCACTCCTGATATTTAGCATCTTGGAGCTTCATGGGGGAAAAATGCTTTCCTACATTATCTGTTGCTTCAAAGTTTTCATTCTTCAGTACTTAAGACCACGACTTTCCAAACCTCATAAATTCTCAACAAGAATGGATTTATTGAGGCCTAACATTGCATAATGAGCATATGACAACTACCACAACAACTAAAATTACTGCCCCAGGGTGTGAAAATGTTGAAAGCAATAAACTGAGCCTTTCAGAAGTTCACCCTCTTCTACCCATTGCGTCACAAGATACAGCTGGCAAAGATCCTGTCTTAACAGCCGGCCAATCAGATTCCTCTGGAAGGATCACAAGCAAAGCAAGCAAAGCATCTCCTTCAAATCAACAGTATCCCTTACCCCAACTGTGGGACCAGCAGCTTTACCACAAGGCCTTCGCTACAAGATTTCACACCCATCCCGATGGCTCATGGATTTTTGTATTCTAAAAACGCTTCCACCCCACCCAGCCTTCCATGCAATGACAATTATAGCCAACTTCCATTTTGGTTGTGGAAGTATGTCCCAGGCAACCAAGCACCAGCAAGCCCAATCTACTACTGTACACCATCCACCTCCCACTTACAACTGCAGGACTGTAACTTTGTTGCTTGTATCCTTATGATTGATATTGATATGTTTTTCTGATTGCTTATTTGTACCCTATGACTATCATTAAGTGCTGTACCTTATGATTCTTGACGAATGTATCTTTT